GCCTGGTCTAGGGCCTGAAAACGCCCTCTGCTGGCGAATTCAAAGGACTTGGAACATCAGGAGCCCCTGTTGCTGGAATTTCTTCCTGAAGTCTGCTCCCATTCTGGGAGCCATGGTCTACTGGAGCCGCTCGGATTTCGAGAAAACCCTTTCAGTGTTCGACATTCATCCTGTATATGGCATCCCTACTCGTCGCTGCCCAGGACCTCCTGGTAAAGTGTCGATCAATATTCCGGTCGCACGGAACACTCATCCCAGGAGCGGTATGGCCTCAGTAATTTGCTTTGAAGGCTCTGGAAGTTCTTGCAACGTACCAAGGTGGATCTTCATGCAGTCTTCGGTGGACCAAATCATGTGAGTCCCTGATCTCGACCTCTGTTTTTATGGACCGAATAGGGTCGCTTTTGACAGTAGCGGACCCTTTCACCAGGGTTGTGCAATAGCCTATTGGATAATCTAGTAAAAAGAAGAATCCAATTGTGGCCTGTTAGCGTCACACACAAACTGTACGCAACTCTCTGACAGTTCCTTCCTATCCTGGGCTTCATACCAAAGTCGATGGATCATTTCGCCCGTGCCTTGAGATCTATGCGGACACGTACGGTGATGTTTATCACATCAGCGAGCGTTTCAACTCTCCTGCTTTCGCTGCTCTGTGGTTCACATCAGTGCTAAGCTACACGCTTCTGTGACTTTGTGACGGCGGTCTGTTGTCTCTTAGGATTACTGAATGAACGTGATCGTCTTGTCCAAGCCTGAGCTGGTCAGACAAGTTTTGATGAGCGCCCGAAGACCTTCATCAGGCCCTTCCAACAAGCACAAAAATAATACCTGTCCCGGAATGTTCACTACAGAGGGTGACGCGTGGAAGCGGAACAGGCGTCGGTGCGCCGGCCTCAAACGACAAAAATTCAGCGGCTATGGTACCCGACATGTTGAGAGTATCATTGAAGCTGGTAAACGACCGATCACCCCACTCACCCGGTGCTCCGGTCCCTCAGCCAGGACGGCCGTATTGTTTGGCGTCCCACAGAATGGCTTTCCCCTCTGTACCTCTAGATGTCTTATGTGTTACCACCTTTAGGGAACGACTATAATTTTTTTGAATCCCGATGGTAAGCAGATGCTTCGGGTGAGCTTGGCGACGTCATCGCGGGATGCTCATTACTCTGCTTCATTCGATGCTACTGCACTCCCCGAGCAGCCTGAGCTCTGCCAAGATCAGTAGATCATCTCGACTGCGTGAGTAACGCAGTGTGTGACGCAGTGCTTTCAGGTCTCCGTCTTGGTAGCCGATCTGGGAAGGTCCAGAGGGCGATAGTAGATACCCTGTCCGGGTCGGGTTATGCCGTTCAGCTCAGTTCCTTCCCGTGGATGACACGGGATAGATTCCCTGGAACCTCAACCCAATGATCAGAAAGGTGAGGCGCTCGCTGTTGGTGGTTTCTGCCATTTCTCGTCGTCAGATGCACACGGGAGTGAAGCGGGCTCAACAGAATCGGCGATGAGATTATCGGCAGTCGACGGGCTGAGCAGCAAGCGGCGGCAGGAGGAGGGCGGGTGGAGCGATGCGACTTGTTTGACAAGCTCCCTGCATCTAGACCCGGAGGACCTGCGGAGGAAACCTCATCACGTGAGCTCTTCCTTGCCGACTTTACAAGCTCTTGCCCGCTTCTGGGCCCGCCACTGATAGCTTTAGAGCGCCACTGGAAGAGCGGCAGGGTTGTAGCATCGTGGCATACACCACTTTGCCGTCAGGTTCTTGGTCGCTGGTAGTGATACCACGGCCATGACAACCTCGTGGTGCTCTCTACCATCTGTCCCTCAACCCCCACATTCAAGCTAAGGCGAGGGCCGAGGTGGATACACTCGGCCATGACCCCAAGACGATAGCAGATCTCAACCAGCTACCCTACGTTGAGTGCTGCATACTCGAGACACTCAGAGTGGGCCGTCGTTAAATCAGGCGAAGCTGTGATGGATTCTTCTTAGTTGCAATCCCCGAGTGTATTTCTCCTCCATGAGTGCGTTGATGACACCTTGCTCGATGGGAAGCCAGTTCCCGCTGGTACTGTTGTGGCTGTACTCTCAACACCAAGTGATGGTGTCGAAAATCTCAAGGCGGCACGATCTACAAGTACTTAGTTCAGTGGTCTGTCGCGTTCACTGGGCCTTCGGAATACCATTCCCTCGGATATGTCGTGAATCTCAGGCCGGAACGTTGGTTCACCAATGATGGCGTGTCGATAGACCAGTCTCTTGTACGTGACCACCTCGCATTTGGGGAGGCCCTCGTCAGTGCCCCCGGGCAGAATATGGCCATCAAGGAGGCCACTATGATAATGGCTCTGATCCTAAGATTTTTTTGATGATATTAGACTTAATCATTCACCCTCATGCGTTCGAGGTAAGGTCACCTTCACTTATGGGCCTGAGAACCTCGAGTTACAGATGTGCCAGCGAGCCGATTAGTCGCTTTTTTTCATGTTCGGTTTGTTTGCACATCCCCTCCTTTCTTTCGGCTACGAGTAGCGTTGATAATTGGCTCGTGCCGGCTATCATGGCTAACTTCCCATCGTGAGGAAATATGAGTCAGCGAGCCTATTAAGGCCTTAAGCTTGATGTGATGCTGCAACTTGACGCACCAGTCACCGCGAACGACAAGACCAATAGCGACAAAAATAGCCTCTATGGCTGCTATAGTATGATAATGCTGAGTTTCAAGTGACGATTATTCGGTGTTCTCATGCCATGGAAATAGCGAATAATCGTCACTAGGTGCAGAAGGGTAACGGATTAAATAAATATGGATTCCACCTCAAGTTCAAACTGACAAGGGGAAAATTCGTTTCCGTGAAAATATCACGAGAGGGGAATCTCGTGATATTGAAGATTCCACACATCTGGAACCCTCAATCCAATGATCAGAGTGCTTGCGAGCACATGTGGTACTCGCAAGAAGAACAAAAATCACAACCAGGCTTTGATTCAAGCCGCTTGACAATACACGGTCAAGATTGACCAGTGCCAATCCAACTCATGTAATGCGTCGCCTGTACCACATACTCCGCGACTCAATCGAAGTTCGAGCTCCCTTAATATAGCACTTTCAACTCGGATATTTCCGACACGGAAGTGCTGTGTACATCGGGCAACATACTCAGACCATAGAATATATTCACGAAGACGAATTCCATCCGATGAAACGAGCAACCCGGCAAACTTGCAAATTTCCACCCGTTCCACTACCGTAAAAAGTCGATTCTTTTACCTAGTTTGATCCGACAAAAACTGGGAGGTGCAAAATAAATTCCTCCAGTACGAGCATTCCGACAGCGGCAGGATTCAATCCTGCGCAGGCTGAGCTTAGTGGATTTCGAGTCCACCTCCTTAACCACTCGAACGCCCTGGCATTTTGAGTTTCTCGTTTAGTAGGGACCGGAAGATGCAAGGTGAATTCCTCCAATACGAACAACCGACAGTGACAGTATTCGAATCCCGCGCACTGCGCGGCGCGCAGCGAGATGGAAACGATCCTCGAGCTCCACATCTCGAAGGAGTAATCCTCCCACAGGGTCTCTGGAGACTCAGGCCCGAGTATGGCATCCCTTATCCAAAGATACCATACGATGGTCAGGGTGCCCATCTGCACGGGCTGCCCCAAGCAAGAGTGCAGGGCGTGGGAAATACACGCAGAGACGCTGTACTAGAGCTGCAGAGTGGATCGTTTCCTAGGGAACGAAACGATAACCGGGAACCATCGGGAAGTCTCCTGAGGTCGCTGGCTGAACGTTGTATCCCATGACACCAAGACCCAGTGGCTCAAAAAATGTTATTGCTTCTCACGAAGGCATAGGCTAAGTGACGGGATTTGAAATCTCCAACGAGAAGTGAGCTGACGCGAAGAAGAGCTCCGCCATCTAGCGGGATGATGGGAGTGATGCAAAAATCGACAATCGAGCAAAGTCTCCCCTTCTTTCCCCACTCTGCAAAGGGTCCCTTGAGCGGGTCCGCGGGCAATAAAGCAAAAAAATTAAGAAAGACTTCATGCCCCTGCAAAGAGGGGGAATGGACCCGACTTTGGCGCTGAAATCGCATCGCCTACAGGGATGCTTGAGTCGCTGCGCGTGCTCGATAATGTAGCATCGGCGTCGTGCTTTTCTCAGCTGGAGGCGCAGAACTGACGCCTGTGCCGTCTGAACGAGTGATACAGTATCACTGATACTCGTCAGGGCATTCTCTCCGAAAGACGAATCCGGGTCATGTACCGGAGACACCGGATGATCAATCCCTCAAAAAATTTCTATGACCCAATACAGCGATATTAGTCGGATGGTGAAGACTATCATGCGAGCGAAGGCAACAGTTGCCTCTCGCCGGTCGTCCTGTATATGCCCTGCATATCTGATTCCCCTTGAGAGAGTAAGCTTTAGAAAGGTAGAAAACTTTACACTCCTTCTCGCCTTGCGATGAGTAGATTGTCCCTTCAGAGAGGGCGTTGGGATGAGTGGATTGTCCCCTCAGAGAGGGCGTTGGGATGAGTGGATTGTCCCTCAAGGGGCGTTGGGATGAGTGGATTGTCCCCTCAGAGAGGGCGTTGAGGTGAGTGGATTGTCCCCTCAGAGAGGGCGTTGGGATGAGTAGATTGTCCCTTCAGAGAGGGCGTTGAGGTTGTTGAGTTGTGGATAGTAGGGACTTCGGAGATAGGGTATATAGAGGTTGTGGAGTTGCTAGGTCCAAGGTAGGGTGGTTGGTGGTGTAGGCATCAGGTGCTGCTGTACGTAGTATGGCGTAGTCAGAGATGTTGACGTCGGTGGTTCAGCTGAGATTGTCGACGGTGTGGGGCTGTAAGCAATTGAGATGGCTAGTGGGAGTTTTTAGTAGGGTCGCTGTGAGCCTGGGCTCCAGTTGTTGTCATTGGTGATGTTCCTGCTGTGGAGGTAGTCGAAGTTTGGGCATTCCAGATATTTGATGAGCTCCTCGAGAGCGGTAGATGGGTTTGTAGAGGTCTCAGGAGGTTCACTGGGGGTCTGAGCACCAGTTGTTGCTTCCCCGTTGTTGCTCATAGTAAACGCAAGGCGAAAAAGGAGTGTAAAGTCTTCTACCCTGCACTATAGCTCAGTACAGTGTGGCTATTTGAGACGGGGCTCGAAGAGAGGTGAAATTGGACTGGATGGAAGCTACAGTATGCAAATTGCATAAGTTGATAAGGTGCACTACAGCTTTCTACGCTGAGCTTAGTGTAGCACGTATACTCATGGACGCTAGTGCAAAGCGCATAGTAAGGTCAGATGGTAATCTGAGCCTAATGGTACGCTGTAGCAGTAAGAGTAGGTGCAGCGATGGCAGTCTAACAGCTGACTAGTGCTGAACCAGACTGTAGCTGTTACATAGCGACCACTATAGTCGTCACTTTGTTGTCACTAAAGACTAGTGCATACCTTCCTAAGCTTCCTCTCTCGAGAGGAATCAGCTATGCACGCATACACAGAACGACCGGCGCATAATGAGTAACAGACGGCAGGTCCGAACCCCGACCTTCAGTTTACAAAACTCACGGCGTAAGTCTTAGGGCTCTACCAGCAGCCTAAGCCGGTTCGGAATATAGTCTAAGCGCGTAAAAGTGTCGATCGATGCAGGAACCCCCGACTTGAGTTCCGCGAGTGAACGATTGATTTATACCATATCATACACCGTTTGAAACGGTGTATGATACGGTATGAAGGGAGCGGTGTTTCGTCATACCTAGTCGACTAAGATTGTTCCATAGTATGGAGTCCATACTATGGGTGAGCTTGACTAGCAGTGAATCACTGCTGAAATCAACCCTAACAATCTCACAACGATCCGCATCTAAGCGCAAAGCTTATACAACCGAGCTCTGCAACAAAAAGAACTCGGCGTGAATGTCACGAGTGATTCGGCAGGGAGCCATCGACCGTGACGCCGGACGTAGACAGATGTCTACCGGTCACCCGAGAGTCGAGCATCTGGACCGCGTTGCCTTGCCAATGTAGACAGCCATTATAATGTCGACCGTGCTGAGAACTAACACTGGGGCACCAGAACTCTATCAAACACGATCATTGCTAGCCCGCACGAACCAAAACCGTGTAAGCTCAGACATACGATGGCGCGTGCGACTACGCGAGATAGACAGCTTCACTGCGACACGCGACCAGAAGTCTGGGTGAACGTCAAGGGCCAAATAGGAGCTAGGTCTAGGATGTAGCAAGCTCCGCAACAGCGTTCGCTGATCTTTGGCGCATGAAGCGCCTCGTAGGTCGTAGCTGCCTTATTGTTCTTAGGGAAAAACGAGCATAAGATGAGTGAACAGGGGAGACAGGTCCGCGTGCAAGGGTAAGAAAGAAGGGCGCAGCGAAAAAGTGAGTTGAAAAGGTCCAGCAGGCGTACGCCAGCGAACTTGGTTGCTGAGACGGACCATCTGTAGGCGTGGGTAAGCCGTTAAGAGTCGAACCTTTCGACTCGAAAGACTTCATATATGAGAGTCATGCTCCCAGCTTACATAAAAATGGCATCCCTGGTCGGTGCGGCGCTCGACGTCGCGAAACAATGTCAATCAATTTTTCAGTCGCACAAAGCTGTTATCATCGCGACCGGCGTAGCTTCAGTTCTGGCTCTGAAGGTATTATTGAGGCTAGTACAAGGAGCAAAGGTGGACCTCCACGCACTCTTCGGCGGGCCCAATAGAGTGAGCCTCATAAGTTTTCCCCGGCGCTCTATCAACCGACTTGGAATCCGAAATGTCGTGTGAATATTCGCTGTGATCTCGCCTTTGGTCTCTCGCAGTTTCTCCCCTTCGTGGGCTTCATACCGAAATCGTTGGATCATCTCTGCCATGCTTTGGAGATCTACGCGGATACGTACGGTGGTTTGTACCATATCGTTAGAGCCCAAGCTTCTGTCCTCGAAGGCTCTATCATCTGCCTCAGGTACGAGCGAATACTCTCGTGGTCCCTGTATGGTAGCCGGCTTTTGTGCTTAGGGTCACTGGCATGGACGTGGTAGTCGTTTCTGAACCTGAGCTCATCCGTCAAGTCCAGGATGAGCGCCCGAAGACCTACATTAGATCTTTCAACAAGCACAAGATAATGCCGGTTCCGGGTATGTTCAACACGGAGGGTGAAGAGTGGAAGCGGAACAGACGGTTGGGTGCCCCGGCCTTCAACGACAACAACTCGGACGCCATGGTACCCGATATGTCCGAAGTTGCATTGAAGCTGGTAGGCTGCCAATCTCCGTCTTCCAACCACGGATATTCAGGTACGTCAGTTGAAGTCCCTCAGTCAGACCGGCCGTATTGTTTGGCGACCCACAGAATGGCTTCCCCTCTGTACTCTCGATGTCTTATGTGTTACCACCTTGGGGAACGACTACAATTTCTTGAACCCGGACAGTGAGCAGGGTATCCTGGCTCGGTTTGGCAATGACGTCCAGCTGCACTTCAACTGCATACCATTTTGGAATCCGCAACGCGAAGACTCACCTTTCAGCTCGGTATGAGACCGTTGCATATTTTCGGGACACAGGGCTTTCCAACTTGTTTTCCGGAACCAGCGACAAGATATCAAGTTGATCTGATTGGCCTTCGTGACCCACGATACGTTTCGGATTAACCTGAGGCTCTGATATTCAGGAATAATTTTTCCTGTGCCGCATCCCTGTGCCGATGTTGTCAGATATATCCGATACCACCATGTATTGCTAACTTCAGGTATATCCCTCGGCTATCGTTACAACGAGGTTCAGCAAGCGATAGCCGACGCTATGGCCGGCGCGGGTTACGTCGCACAGCTCAGCTCTTTTTCCCCTGGATGACGCGGGACAGATTCCCTGGAACCTCAATCCGATGATTGAGAAGGTACGTCTCTACTATTCATTTAGCGATGTGAGCTCATCCCCTCCCTCAGCTTCATACAGGAGTGAGGCGGCTCAACAGAGTGTGCGATGAGATCATTAGCGCCAGACGGGCTGAGCAACAAGCAGGGGAGACGAGTGGAACGGACGCGATTTTGTTGGACAAGCTCCTTCATCTGGATGAAGAAGACTTGCGGGGGAACCTCATCGCGTGAGCCGTAGCTACCAATTCGCTCTCTTATGCCTGTCACAGGGACAAACTTTTCGAGAAAGCACTGAAAGTGTGCATTTATGACTATTATACCGCTGGGGGTCTACTTGTATTCGCGTCAGGTTCTTGATCGCTGGTAGTGATACAACAGCTATGGCGGTCTCGTGGTGCCTTTACTATCTGTCCCTCAACCCCCACATTCAAGCTAAGGCCAGAGCGGAGGTGGATGCCCTCGGCCATGACCCGAAGACGAAAGAAGACCTCAACCGGCTACCCTACGTCGAGTGCTGCGTCCTCGAGACGCTTAGAGTGAGCTCTGATGA